AATGACTTCCATCTCCTTGGAGCACAGCTGATCGATCTACTCAGATGATTCTGGGAATTAAATCCCACTGCAAGCTTTAGCACAAAAAACCAGTGCCACGTAGGCTTGAAGTGGATATTCTTTCCTCATCAAGTTGGAAACCACCAAATGTTTCGTCTTATTTTGACATCGGTTTGAAGAATTGACAGGCCTGTCAATAATTCTACTTCAGGGATGTAGTTTCGTAGTGATTTAGGCCACCCTTATCCCCCCCCCCCCCCCGCCCCCCGCCGTCCCAGCTTGGGCTCCACCCAACTTTGAGAAGGAAGCGGGACTAATCAACAGATTAACCCAATGGTGTCATGTTTTGAGGGGTAGGTTGAATTATTTTTAACTGCTTAGGCCCATCCCCTCAACTCATTCTGTGAAGCTACACCCGTGCTCTACTTAACATTAAGCTCTGGCTCTGGCAGCATCTGCTCCATTAGCGTAAGTTGCCAGTTGCGCTTATGTCAGAACACCCAGGTTAAACTGGGAATGACGTTTTGACCACAAGGACGCTTCGTTGCGCCTTTTTCTTGTTCTCTTCCTCATTGTGCGGTGGTGGTGGTGGTGGGGGAGCGGGGACGGGAAACCCTTCTATACCCGCCACCGACCTGTGAAGGTATTTGACCGATCATGAGCATTCCACTGCCTCGGGCGGCGGTGGACCGCAATACCGAGTTCTTTCATCGGTTTGGTGTCTGGACGTAAGCGCTGTATGCCCTGCTCCAGATCTGCCGAGTCCATCTGCCGCTGAGGCTGTTACAGCTAGAGGTGGCCGGGTACGGGAATCAGCCTGGGAAGCATGGCCAGGATGCGAGAGAGACTGTCATCCGAGATCTGATGCAGTTTTATTTCTAGACAACTTGATGGCTTGAACCCTCAGTATGCAGGATTGCCCAGGACAGATATACATGTAGAGTAGCAGTCGCGTTGCATAGCATAGCAGTCTCGTAAGCATGTAAGCATTAAGCGTAAGCATTTATTTCTTCAAGGCTTCAGAATGGATCTGTTCCTTGTTCTTAATTTCGTGGTACATTACCTGAAATTTCTCCGGCCAAAGACAAGGAACTGACACACTTCCGATGTAACAGTCGCCCTTGAAAACCTGCAGCTTGCGCTCAAAGGCAAGGCATATAAGTAATACAAAACTGCATTACGTTTTTGCAAACATCCACGGAAGTAATTGTAGGACATGGGGTCAGTGATTTAACGCAGCGTGGTCATCAGATAGGCATGAATACAAAAACCGACTTGTGGGTGCGCTGACCTACTTAGAGTAGCTGTGGTCGGAATCGCTCGCCTTGGATGCACCAGCAATGGAACGACCCCTGCTGTTTTTATAAGCAGAAGACCCCAGTCGACCACATTCAAAGGAGACAAAGCCGACGCCGCGAAACCTACCATATGTGGTGATGCGGTGGGAGGCTGCTAAATCCCCAATGTTTGTGAGCTTTAACATAAAATCTACGCGTGTTATTTACAAACTGACTGAAGAACAAAGTATAACACCAAACTGAAGGGAAAAATCTTCTCCCTTCCGCACGTCGCTGAGCCGGCGAGGTGCGCTAGCAAATGGCGGCGCCCATGGCCAACGGCTCTCGCGGCGCCGGCGTCCGGCGGTCCCGGGCCAGCTGTGCCATTGAGTCGCGTGGACCAGTTTGATCGAGCAGCGGCGTATTAGGGCCTGACATCGTATCTCCATTAGCGCGGTCAGCAAAAACCGGGTGGCATTTAATACACGCCGATAGCGGGACTTATTTCCAGGCTGGGTCCGTAGTTAAATGGCTTGTTATCGTGCCTACTCTGCGTTTGAAGCGCTCTGACGTGCTGGCGGTGGGACTGTTCGGCATTCAGTCCAATGACTATTTACAAGGAGCTGAGTTCTGCGCCGTCGAATTGCATGCTAGCAGGTCGGTAGGACAGGTATCAGACAAGCTACGGGCCGCAAGCGTTTTTGGTCCGCCCCTATCGAGTCCGATTTCGGATATTGTCCTGTTTTATAGAACGAGATAGATGTTCGTGGTTGAATTGGGCAACATTATCGTGCTGTACGGCATTATCGTGCTAACGCGATGGCGTGCGCGTACGCTGTCACAGCTAATGCAACTTTGTAGAGAGAATGATAGGACCCTATATCGGCAACAATGCATAGATTAATGTCCTGAACACTGAAACCGAAGAAGCTTTCGGCTACTTTGCGGGTATCACGCCGACAGATACAAATTTGGGGCCTCTGAGACGCCTATCACACTAGACTTAATTTGTCGTATCTTCGTTTTTCGGAACAATTAAGGAGCATTCCCTTTACAAGGAGTGTCCCACATTTACGGGGTTTTGAGCTGAAATATATACTTTGAAGATGATTCCATGCAGTTCACAGCTCTGTTCTTTATGATACCCAAAACCTTCCAGTTTCTGAGCTACATGCCTGTCGTCATCGGCACTGGGACTTTACTGCTGAGGCAATGTGACGTCGCCTACCTCTCACTTTGGCAGGAAATGCGTGCATTGTGTGGAATCGAACACGGTACCTCTGGTTTCCCAGACGTGTAGTGGTTAACACAGGCGTGTTAATCGCTACGCCATCAACACCCCAGAGCTACGCGCCTGCAAAAATAAGCGCACTTCTCCGCGCAGACTACTTCAAGGTCATATAGGCATGCATGACACCAAAGCAACGTCATTTAAATCCTGCCACGCCATTTGCCACGCCGCGTCCAAGGCCACGGAAGATCGCCATCGTCGAGCCGTTCAGATCTGGCGTCCGTGACATGAGTGCCAAGTAAAGTGGACGTCATTGGCTCTAAATCAATTTTCAGCACGCGGGGCAAGCTTCAATCACGATTAGCTTTTTCTGGGAAGGGGGGGGGTGGGTGGGGGTGGATTAGAGCTCTTTCGACCAGAAATGATCCTTTTAGACGCAGCTTAGAGTTGCACGAAACACAGGCGACTAAGACGGAATGTTACGGTGACCCATACCGAGTAAAAAGTTAGCAAATTGCTGACCAAGGAAATCAAGCATCTCAATCATTTCTCCAGCATCACAAACATCCCAGGGATTTAAGTTCGCGCATCCTGACACCCGACACACTTGCCAAAACACGGGCGGCTAGACTGGAAGTTTTTGATGACCTGCACCGAATAGAACAATAAAAAAACTTTTAAGGATCTAATTAGATTTGATAATTAAAAAAGCCTTTGGCTGTCCGTGAATCAATCCACATACGCCAACAAGGCTTTGCTGAAAGAGACATTTCATGCTGGTTAATCATGTAGGTTATATGGGTACATGCTAGCGCTATTTATCGTTTTTAATTGTTGAGTTAATGTGTGTGCTATACGTGTCATTTTACACTTCTTCTTTTTTTTAGAAAAACAAGGCATATTTGTTGTCAAAACAAGATAGTTTCTGTGCCTAGCTGTTTGATGCCGACGATGTGAGCAAGTTGCGTAACCAGATACTGATTAAAACTGCATCTTAATGAAACAACAAGTCGTGAATCATTATTGAGAGGTCATTTAACATCAACTGGCTTATCTTCCCATTTACATCCACGTCCGTTAAATTACTGACACGTTCCCGCTCAAGTTCAGCGTCGAGTTTCGGGTGTCTGAAAATGCGTTGCTGGAGCAGACAGCAGACACAAGTTACGGAACTGCGGTCCGTTTCGTTCTATCCCAACCATTTGGCCTCCAGAAGGTAAAACACAAAGTCAACCATTGACAATACCATATCTGCCAAATGAGGCTTTATAAGAAAGATAGGCAAATATTTCAGCCAAGGGTGGCAAAAATACACCCAACAAGGTTAACTTTCAGATCACATTCGAGATCAAGGCACGGGATAGCGTCGTGCTGCCGTGTATTGGGCTGATCTGTATGAATTGGGTGTCATTAGAAAGCGCGGTGTCCATTCCAGCCGGGGCTCTAAAAACACACGCAAATAAAGTCCAATCTTTAAAGTCATGCTCGTGATAAAGGACAGAGTAGCGCCGCACTGCCGCTGTAAGCGATCGATTTCTAAGAAGCAAGTTTCGTTCGAAAACGCGGCGTCCATTCCAGTCTGCGCTATTAAAACACCACCCTTTAAGGTCAATCATTTCTGTCACGAAGGTCCAAAGCAACATCCGCAGGTAGAAGGATGGGGTAGTGCAACGCTGCCGCCGTATGGAATTGATGTTATAAGTCGACGCCTCGTGAATGCCCGCAAATGGGATGTAATCTGACAACTAGGCATCTATTGTAGCTGCCGCTCTAAAAAACATGGATCAATGTTAGCCTTCAAAACTATGTGTGCTTTGGCATATATTGGGAGAAGGTTGCGTCATTTTTCACTGTTCAGTCCCCCGCACTCAGTTTGCGAAGTCACAGCCCTGGAATATATGATAGATATCCCAATGAAAGGATTCATAGTGAACTACTGAAGGCCCTTGTGTCAGACTGATACTCCAGTACCAAATGGGAAATCTCTGCCCCATTTCGGGTCCAATGAGCCGAACTGGGCCCCGTGCCGATTATTGGATCATTTGCTCCGATAACAGATCGTTTGGGGCTACTAAGTCCCCTGCGTCGGTCCCGGCCAGCTGCTCCGGTCGGAGAGTACATGTTGAGGGTCTCAGAATCGACCGATGTTCATAAACGTAGCGATTGGGCCTCTCGCTAAACACGCCCGTTAGCATAACAGGGCAAAAGCAAAGACGGCTTGAGTCCCCATGAAATAAAGTGGGCCAAATGCGGTATCTTAGATGGGACGAGGCATCTCTGTGCACCGCTGGGGAGCAGCCGCCAGTGATTGCGAAGCCTCAGAGATGATGAGGGAGAAAATGCATTTTCACATTGTTTCTTTACGCGCATCTTAATTGGTTTAATGCCAAAGTTTCTAAAGTTGCCGAAGTGCCGCCTGCCGCAGGCTCCTATGACCTTTGAAGTCAAGTAGGAGATGGGGCTGCGCTGTAAAAGAAGAAGCGTCCGTACACGGGTGTGTTGCGCTTGGTGGTGCCGTCGTGGGTAGCGCCCGGGAGATTCCCGGACGCCACTTGGGTAGACCTGCGGTCGTTTTTGAACTGTGATAACAACATAATAATAATTCCAAGTGGGAGTGTGTCGTAACTGGATTGCTGACGGCCACGGTTATGGCCTAAAGCCCGAGCAACCTGTTGCATCAAGATGGACCCGCCCTCCGAGTTTACAGCGGAATCTGTCCGCGATTATATCTTAAGTAGAGGTGGAAAGGTGACCAACCACGAATTGGTGAAGCACTTCAAACTTTTTCTGACGGATCCTGTGTTGAAAGGTAAGTTTTGTGGTGCGTGCTGATACGGGAAGTATTCTTAATGGATGTGGCAGATCTGGCGCATTCAAAACAATGGATTTAGTGTGATTCTCACAGCTGTAGTTTGTAGAAAGGTCTTAAGGTTTTGCCATTGATTCTACCTTAAATATGGACAGTTTTCATTTTTAAGCATTAGGTTTATATACCCATTATACATTTATGCTTCAGACTTCATACACTATGGCTGCATATCCAATAGCCAATTTAAGTGTTATCTTTGTGTCTGTAGCCTTGTTTTCTTTATTGACTCTGTAAAAATTTGGTAAAAATACTGTTTTGACAACCTCAGTCCTAGAACTGAAGATGGACAACAACAAGCATGATTGGGATATGTTAGTAGCTTGATCTGCCATAGGTCATTGTAAAATGCATGCTAGCGACAACCTTGAAGGCTCCTGCGTCGAGTTGACTTTTCAAGCTTCCATGTTGGAATAGGCACAAAACACCAGAAATGGTGGACTTGGTGGCAGCCATAAATGGATCAGGTGTAGTAAGAAATGTATGGCTGAAGCCCCCAACTAAATACAAAATATTGCTCGTGGAAGGAAAGTATCAAACTAGCCTCCCCATGGTGAGTCATGAAAGTATTGAAGTGTAGAGTGTCTGGGAAACCAGAGGTAAGGGATTTGGTTCCCTGCATTGCCAAGTCCCTCTGGTCAGGGTGAAAGGCAGGTGAGGCCATGTAGCCTCAGCAGCTGAGTGTGTTGTAAAGTACCAGTGATGATTAAGTGTGGAGTAGTGTAGATGAAGGTAACACATAATATGCCAATGTTGTAAGACTTGGCATTTCCATAGGTTGCATAGCTTTTGTATTAATACAAACTTGCTCTGTCATTCAGAGAGATTACATTTGAAGGCATTGTACTTGGTCAAGGTCATGCCCTTTTATCATACCACATGCTCATTACATTACAATTAATGGAGTGATAATGCAATTTAAAAAAAAACAATTGAATAAGAATGCATGAAATGTGCATTATTATTCAATTGTAATTGTAGTGTAATATGTACCCTACACCAAGTACAAAAATTGGTGCAGGATGCTCATTGGTATGAGTACCAATAAGCTAAACATGCCAGTGACAAAGGATAAGTCACACCTCTGCCATAGCAAGCAAGTTGACAATGTAGCAGTTCAAAAGAGAGCTTTCAAACTGCACAAGTTGACAGTTGTGGTAATAGGTGAGTATCAGTGGCGTGCCACTGAGACCAGACTACTTTCTGACCAGCCCAGCTCAAAATCCAACACAGGTCATGCATGCGTGCACTGGCTGTCTTCCTTGACATCTTTCTTGTTGCCCGGACTGGCTGGTACGCAGCGGATCGTTTGAGATCCGTTCTGAATTGCCCAAGTTTACTCGCAGACGGTGCCTCGGTCAGTAGTAAATACACCGTGCACGGCTCGCACTAACACATTCTGCAGTAGAAAACCACGCGTAAAGGAGCCCGCTGCATTTGCTAAGGAAGACACAGGTCGCCTCCTGTTCTGTTCGTGTCACGTCATCCCCTACACTTGTACCACCTCGGGCGTTTCGAGCAAGCCCGCTCACACCGGCAGCGACGTAGCCGAACGTTGGGTCGGCCACGCCGTTACACATACCGCGTTGCCCGGCCTGGCTCATCGGGCGTCGTCTGACGTCACAGTGTCCGGGCCTGAGGAGGCCGCTCGGCGTCTCGGGGGTCCGATGACGCGGCGCGCGCCAGCCGAGCCGGCGCCGCAGCCTCCGATGGAGCGCGGTGGGGGTGACGTGCACACCTGGCGGCGTGACCAGAGTGATGGGCGCCCCAAAAATCACCCGCGGTTTCCTCACGATCGGTTTGGGTATCGCGTGGCAGTGGGGCCGTGATGGATCTCGGGAGCGTCGAGCTGACCACGACAGGCAGGCGCGGTGGCCACGCCACTGAGGGTGTCATTGCTCACCGCTCCTCTCTGTGGAGCGGTGGCGTATTTTTGGTGGTCGCATTGTGTAAAAGCTCGTCTGAGAGTTAAAGCTGGAGTTTTGTGGTCTTTCAGTCAGCGATAGCGCCTAGCGTAGCGGCCTGGAAGCTATGAGAGTTATTCGTTTGTAGCGTTCCAAATGCCACTTTTCCTAGCTCTTGTTTGGAATCTTCTCATGCGGTGCTTAGATATTGAAGATGTTACATAATCGATCTATACATATCTTAGCATTGTACGTGCCTTAGAGACACGATCCTTATCATGTCACCAATTGCGGCATGTCGAGCTGGGATGGCCTGTTTTAGTTCTAGGTGCAGTATTACTGACCAGTCGTTACTGCAAGTAACGCTCCGGGCTACGTGAGTCCGCTGTTCTGACGGAGGCTGCCGATGCTGTCTGTCGGAGGACTGGCCACACTGCGCCCTCTGTTGCAGACCATGCTCGTGCCCAGTTCAAAGAGTTCGTCAACACGCTGGCCAGCATCAAGCTGGAGGACGGTGAAAAGTACCTGGTGCTGAAGAAGAAGTATCGCTCAGGCTTGCTGGCGGAGGTGCTGAGCGACGTTGGCTCCGAGTACAGTTACGTCTCGCACAGCACCAGCAGCAGCACGCCCGACCCGCCCGACCTGGGTCTGCCGGTGCCGCGCGCGCCGCCGCCGTACCGTCCGCCGCCGCCTCCCACGGCCGGCTACGGGCCGCCGTTCCCGGGGCCGGCGCCGTACCAGCCGCCGGCGGCCTACTCGCCTGGCTACCGGGCGGTGGCGGCGCCCGGACCCGAGCGGAGCCCAGCGCTTGACGAGTACTACCACGTGGCGGAGAGCCGGCCGCTGCGCGCCGACCCGCAGCCGCTGGGGTTGCCGGCCACGCCGCCGCCCGAGCTGCTGGAGCGCGTCTCGCCGCGTCGGCCGGCCGAGCAGCGGCCGCGTCAGCAGGCGCCGCCGCCGCCACTGCCGCCACCGGCTCCGGCGCCGGCCCCGGCGCTGGTCGAGCCTCTGGAGCGGCGGCCCTCCGCCGCCCGGCGAGAGCCCCGAGCGCGGCGGCGCCCCGCCGATGGAGCGGGCGCCGGAGGACGAGCCGCCGCCGCCGGTGCCGCCGCGCCGCCGCTCGGGCGGCAAGGAGAACCAGACGCCTCCGCCCGACGAGCAGGCGCCGGCCGCCGACGCCGAGGCCGAAGCCGCCCGAGAGGTGAGACGACCCGGACGCTGCTGACGTCCGCCGCACTGCCGCGCTGGCGTGCCGACTGGCCTTTTGGCTTGGGGTCTCCAGCGGCGCCTCACACGCCGGCTTTGTTTGGGTTCGCTTAAGTGCTTTACGCGCCTGCGTGCGTGTGTGTGTGTTGGGGGTGTGATGCACGGGCTGGCTGCGGTTGTTGGGGCACCAGCGACGCTCTCTACCCTGGTTTGTAGAGCGCGCTGGAGGAGGAACGGCAAAAGAAGATCAGCGTGAAGGAGCAGACGCAGAAGTTCAACCGGATCGCCTCCGAGTCGCAGCTACTGCTGCCCAAGCAGAATAACAAGCGCCGTGACCGTGCCGACAAGGTGGGTGTGCCGCAGCCGGTTGGCTGTGGAGGGTCTGGGGGACCCTGGAGGTCCACCAGAGCAGGGGAGAGTCACGAGGACAGGGAAGTGTGATGGGTGAGTACAGGGTGGGATGGGGCGGGGCTCAGGAACAGGGGAGTGTCTGTCGGCAGGAGAGAGTCAGTGGGACGGGGGCAGAGTTCGCCGAGTCTGTTGGAGCGGCGCTCGGACCGCAGGGGGTGCTTTGGCGCGTTGGACGGCGACAGTCACAACATGCGTACCGAGCCGTTCAGCCCGCCTGGTTCTCCCGAGGTCAGGGGCGGTGGTGGGGTCGGGGTGAGGGGCGGTGCCGTCGGCCGACCGATGTTGACCCGGTGCTCGGCAGAGGCGCAGGGACGGCGGCGCGAACGGTGAGGGTGTGACCGAGTGTCGTGCCGACGTCACCCGCCGCCCGCCCCCCCCCCCCCCCGCCCCGCGACCACTTACCCAAATGACGGTGCCCGGGTTAATTAGGCCGCCGCCGGCTGGGCAGTTAACGCGTCGCGCGCGCTGGCTGCCGCCCAGCGACCGACAGCGAATCCAGACCCACCCCCGCCGCGTGAGCGGTTCGGGCCCGGTCGCCGACCCGCTGGCGCCCAGAGCGTTTGCCAGCTGGGCTAAAACTCATCGGGAGCATGTCCGAGGAGCGGCTTGTCCAATTGGCGAATTATTGTAAGGGATGCGACTAGGTGAAATAGTTGCACAAGTGCATAATGCTCATTCGGCAAGTTTTGTGTATGATCCGTTGCGTCCGGTGATTGGCCGTGTTTGGGATCTGTTTTTCTTTCTGACCAATTGGTTTCCGTTGTACTCTGCTGAACCGCGTTCTACCGACCTAAAAGGCTAGGCAGCACCCATCCATCCATAAATGGGAACGCACCACCAGAGATCCGATATACCCGAAGATCACATGCCTGTGATGCTGTTCCTTTGCAGGGTTTTGTTAATTTCCGTTGTCAGACTGCGGTTATATTATTAGGATGTGTATAATCCCGTGCATTCCGTCATCCTCTGACCGGTGTCTGTGTTTCAGCTGCCTGTTGATGATGACGACTCCTTGTCAACGACGACGGTAAGTGCATGGCGATGTTGTTCTTGCGGGGCCTTGTTTGCTATGGTCGGATGCAGTGGGTCTTGGAATGGCGGGGAACATGATGCCATCGTCTTAACACTGCTGCGTTTGTTTACCGGGACAACATTGCATGAGCGCTGATACCAGGTAGACTCTTACGGTGAAGCGCTATGTGACCTCGTCTCTGTCAGCAGTGCCGGCTGGCCGTGCTGTTTCTAATGACCGCGTGGCGTTAGTGAGAGATGACAGTGAGGTGTGTGGTCGGTCGCCGGACGGACGAGCCCGCCGTCGCAGCGCTGCACTCTGAGGCCCCTGTGAGGCGTGGAGATGACACCTGTCAGACGTAGAGGTGACGCCTGTCAGGGAGGGACACCCGTCAGGCGCAGAGGTGACATCCGTCAAGTGTATAGGTGACGCCTGTCGGGCACAGAGGTGACGCCTGTCAGACATAGAGGTGACGCCTGCGGAGCACAGAGGCGACACCTCTCGGGTGTAGAGGTGACGCCTGTCAGACGTAGAGGTGACGCCTATCAGGCACAAAGGTGACGCCTGTCAGGCGCAGAGGTGACATCCGTCATGTGTAGAGGTAACGCCTGGCGGGCACAGAGGTGACGCCTGTTGAGCGCGGGGCGACCCCGGTCAGGTGTAGAGATGACACCTATTACGCGCAGCGGTGGTGACGCCTGTCAGGCGCAGAGGTAACGTCTGACCCGAGCTACACCGTCCCCAGTTCGAGGGCGTCAACAAGGAGTGGATCCTGATCAGCTCGTCCTGCAAGTACATGGAGATCGTGCGCATGCTCAAGGACAACCCCCAAGCTGGCCAAACACAAGGTCAGTCTTGACCCGGCGTTGGTTGTAACTTTCCCCTACCACTGCCCTCGCAAGCCGCCATTACACCACGGGAACACGCAAACAACACACGCTCGTGAAAGGTGCTTTTTCTTAGGTCTTATGCGAAGAAATACTTTCAGAAGGGATTTTTCGGTGGCTTTATGAAGCCAGAACGTACCGATGCAATTGCGGTTGAGACTACTGCAGGTGTATGTCATTTTGTCAATCCGTTTTCTTCTGGGGAACGCGGGATAACGCGACACGCTGTTGGTGCAGTGTGGTCGCACAGTCCAGCACGGAATAGTGACGGGAACCAGCGGGTAGGATGCTGTTCTGGTAGGGCGGCTGGCAGGACGCTGCTGTGGGTGGCGGCTGGTAGGACGCTGCTGCAGTGGGCGGTTGGCGGGACGCTGCTCTGGTGAGCCGCTGGACGCTGCTTTGGTGGGCGGCTGGTGGGACGCTGCTCTGGTGAGCGGGCTGGTGGGACGCTGCTCTGGTGAGCGGCTGGTGGGACGCTGCTCTGGTGAGCGGCTGGACGCTGCTCTGGTGAGCGGCTGGCTGGACGCTGCTCTGGTGAGCGGCTGGTGGGACGCTGCTCTGGTGAGCGGCTGGTGGGACGCTGCTCTGGTGAGCCGCTGGACGCTGCTCTGGTGAGCGGCTGGTGGGACGCTGCTTTGGTGGGCGGCTGGTGGGACGCTGCTCTGGTGAGCGGCTGGTGGGACGCTGCTTTGGTAGCGGCTGCCGTGCAGGCCGCCACCAGCTCCGCGCCTCAGACTGGGCCGCCCGCCCCGTCGGACGCTGTCTCTCCGTCGCACGCCCACCTCCTCCCGCCGGCCGATGCAGCGTGGACGCGTGCTGCCGCGCTCTGCCGGCCGTGCGTCCAACAGTCCCACGGTGATTAGCGGCGGCTGGCTTTCCGACACCGCATGGCTGCTCGCCCATCTAATCGCTTCAGCAGTTTTACACAACCGATGTCGCTTTGCTGTTGTCCTGGGTGCATGTGTGGCACCCCTCATACAAAAATGACCGTCTGAGCAGGCTCTGGTCTTTAAGTTTGGGCCCAAAGCTAGGGTGTTTAACAGGTGTTCCTGAGCTGTCTTATTGCCGGAACCGGTGTCCATGGGACGTGAGTGACACTTACTCCATCAAAACGACTCTGTGGGTCGTTCGTAGCGTCTCTGCCCCGCAGGTAGAACCGCAATGGTGCCTGAAGCCCGGTTCAGCGAGCGGGGCTCATGGTTTTTATCGTGTCTGTGTGGGCTCGCAACCGTATTGGCGCGGCGTCTGGCGTCCTTGCCAGCTTTTGACCAGGAATGCTTCATAGCGAGGGACTTGTGCAGCCTCAGCGGGACGACATCTGAGGGATTTGTCGGACCTGTTGATCGGGGATTGTTCTATTTTCGTCGCACGTGTGCGCCCTGGCGTGGAACATTGGACATCCCATTTAGAGACGCGGTGGGCTTAGAACAGATCAAGTTCCCCCATCCGGGGATGCCTCGTATTTTGAGTGCTGCGTTGTCGCTCTGGCGCTCATTTGATGGTCCCTGACTCTCAGGCTTAGTTACATACTAGAGACACAACTTTCTAAAGAAATATCACCTCGCAGACCACCCGGCCCCGCCCGGCTAGCGGTCCAGTCGCGAGAGCCCCGCTTTGCTACAATGCTGATCCACCATTATCACGCAGGTACTAATTTATTGCACTATGCATTTTCTCATTTCACAGTAATTTTAGACCTAACACATTAACGTGTGCATGAAACGGCATGTGTCATCCAATACATGACATTGTTAAGCTAGCAACAGTGATTTTACTCAGACAGCAGCAACCAATGGTACATGCACAATGGGATCTATAATGCACCAAAGTAGATATTAAACACGGTGATAGTAGTTTTCATCTACAAATATGAAGGAAGAGGGTGGAAATAATTTGTCTTTCACCGAATTGTTTCCGAAGATTTCACCCTGGTACTTTCGCAATATACCAGAGGCTATTTCATCAGAAATTGCATGCGTTAACTGAAAGTTTGTACTGAGAAGGTAAAAAGTGCCGTATATATCCACGTAAGCTGGGTCATCATTCGACTACGTCACAATTGCCGCGTCAAATTTCTCATTGAAGAACCAGGGCCAGCCCCCTACATGTTGTTCGGGCGTCCTTAAGTGGATACATCATGCTACCGGACCACACAAAAACCACAGGGAGCTTTGAAATGATCCACATTTTCTTTTATGACCATCCACCCTTCAGCCCACAACCATCGCCGCCTGGTTTGTGTTAAGCTGCGTGAAATCAAGGGTGGCAAAAATATTTTGTCCACGAATATTGGCCCCCTCCAGTGACGTCATGGCCATTAACATTGCCACCAAAAACCGTGGCATTATTGCATGTTGCAGAAAAAAATTATATGAAAACAAACCCGAGTTGTTGATATAATTTTCAGAAACTTTTTCTATAGTCCACAAAGCCTGCAGACTGCGGCTTTCGACCTTTATCGAATACCTCATTGACGTCACATGCTAGTTAAATTTTTCACACACATAGCTTCATTCAGATATAATTTGGAAAACAATTAAGAAATCAGATAGAACAAAAGCCTTGGGGCAAAAAAATGTTTACAAATAGTATCAATCGCAGCAAGGGTAAACCGTTTCGTAGAAGCGCCCTGTAGTCGAAGTTTGCAAGCTGCATCTTCTGCAGACATAGATAAGCAAAACTGTATGTTATCACTTTTCTCAGTTTCGAGTTTGTTGCGCATTTGAAACACCACTACTGCTGGCTGTGTTGACGAGCGAGTGAAACTTGGGCACTGAAAGGCTCACAGTTTCCCATGCATTTGATTGACCATGGCTATGATCGTTATTTGTGAGGTATGATTTTGTGTAAACCAAACAAGGTTGAGTTCACACCACACCCTCACAATAACGGCCAATACAATGAATAGTGTATTTATTTTGAGGACCTTCGTAATTGCTGCTCAGTAAAACTAGGCTATAGCTTTGAAAATTTGGACTGCTATTTTTCAATTTGCTCGTGCGATGTTTGCTTCAAGCTGTGCAATTTGTGCAACCTGATTTTATTGGTGCGTCATGTCTGCCATGAGTTTTCTGTTACTGGTACTCTTACTGTATAAACGTTTGTTTCACGGCCGTTTTGTGCTTGCCAGCACAGTCTGGTTTTGGGATTCTAAGACTTAAGAATAGCAAAAAATACATGATTTTGCCCCCAAAAATTTTGACCGTGCAAAACCCGCCAGATCTGGCCCATGACTCAGCCGAAAAGCGGCGGGTTTCTGCGAGTCAGAGATTGACAGACTTTCAGGCTCATCTCATCTCTTGTTGCATCTCTAGTACATACCACGCCCTACCACATACCGACATACCATGCTTTGCGTCTCGCCAATATCCGTGACGGCTTCTTCGGCTTGATGATCGGTGGTAAAGTTTGCAGGTCCAGTTGAAACCATCCTATGTTGTGCAGCACGAATTTGCGGGGAAACGTGATGTCAGAGTTGGAGAACTCTCCTGACATTTGCCTCCAAGAATGACGTCAAATAAGCGACTTCATTCGTACCATACTTCCTGTTTTAGTAGACACAGTGTAGTAATCCATTGGCCACTCCCTCAGTAGCTGCGGAGCCGAGTACACTCTTCTCCTCCCCCTCCCCTCCCCTCTGGGATCGGAGGGCGCGGTCGGTCCGTCTGCCCGGCCGATGGGCGCTAGCACTCGTCTGTGGCCGGCGAGCCCCCCCCCCCCCCCCCCCCCAGCACCGGAGAACGCAGTTGGTCCGTCTGCCCGGCCGGTGGGCGCTTACACTCGTCTGTGGTCGGCGAGCCCTCCCTCCAGCACCGGAGAACGCAGTTGGTCCGTCTGCCCGCCGGTGGGCGCTTACACTCGTTTGTGGGTCGGCGAGCCCTCCCCCCAGCACCGGAGAACGCAGTTGGTCCGTCTGCCCGGCCGGTGGGCGCTTACACTCGTCTTGTGTCGGCGAGCCCTCCTCCAGCACCGGAGAGCGCGGCTGATCCGTCTGCCCGGCCCGGCGGTCGCTTACACTCGTCTGTGGTCGGCGAGCCCTCCCTCCAGCAATGGAGAGCGCGGTTGATCCGTCTGCCCGGCCGGCGGGGCGGCTTACACTCGTCCTGTGGTCCGGCGAGCCGTCCCTCCAGCACCGGAGAGCGCGGGTTGATCCGTCTGCCCGGCCGGCGGGGGCGTTACACTCGTCGTTGGTCGGCGAGCCCACTCCCTCCATCCAGCACCGGAGAGCGCGGTTGATCCGTCTGCCGGCGGCTCAGGCGGCCGCGCAGGCGAAGCCGCCGCTTGTAGACTTCTTACTCGTCACCCAGTAAGCAGAAAGCCATGCCTTACACTGCGGCGGACAGCCGATCCGAGCCCAAGCCCTGCCGGTGCGTCAGTGTCTCCGACGATCCAGATCACGCTCATGGTGCGGGGGCGTGTCAGTACACCGACGGCTAGTGATGGCCTCCGGTGGTCAGAGACGGCGCCGGCTCACTGGGTCCGCCGGGCGGCGGAGATGCCGCCTCTGCCGTTTGGTCGGAGCTGATGTGCTGCGTTGTTCGATTATGGCAAGCTCATGCGCCGGAAACACGGATTCCTACGACTTGTCAGGACAGAGCAGTCGTAAAATTCGGGTATTCGAGATGACCCTCCGATAGTCAGCTTCCGCGAACGTCCACCTCGACGCTTGTCGCTTCATCAGCAGGTACAGAGCGTTGGCAAGTCTGTCCTACGAGGTCCCGTACGCGCCAGTGGACAGGCCGGCTAATTGCTATCTGTGTCTGTCTGTGCCGCCCCGGATGACAGGGCGCTGCGAGTGCCGTGGCGGGTGACAGCCCCGGCCGTCGCCTGGCGTCCGCCGGTCCGGGCCGTTCGCGCGTTGACAGCGTGTCGCCGCCGTCGGCCCCTCCAGAGCGGCCGATAACAGCCAGCCTGTCATCAGCCGCGCCGGATTAGCGCTATTAGCGCCGCCGGATACGCCGCCGGTCGTCGG